ATATAAAATCCCTCAGTTGTATGCACAGTTAAACAGAACCGTCTTTAACCTGGTTTTAAACATTGTCAGAGAGGAGGCCTGTCTCACATCCTCAGGAAGACTGTTCCAGATTTTAGCAGCATTAATCTGAAAAGCAGCCTCCCCATGTTTAGTTCTGACTCTGGGCACTAACAGGAGTCCAGTCCCTGTGCTCCTCAGAGTCCGGGCTGGTTCATATGGGACTAACATGTCACTAATATATTTTGGTGCGAGGCTATGGAGAGACTTGTACACAAGCAGAGCTGTTTTAAAGTCTACTCTCTGAGCCACAGGAAGCCAGTGCAGAGACCTGAGGACTGGACTAATGTGGTCGTACTTCCTGGTTCTTGTCAGGACTCGAGCTGCTGCATTTTGAATGTACTGCAGCTGTTTTACAGCCTGTTTGGACAGACCTGTGAGCAGGCCATTGCAGTAGTCTAACCTACTGGAGACAAATGCATGGATAAGAATCTCCAAGTCTGCTTTAGACACTATGTTTTTGATCCTGGCAATGTTTTTTAGATGGTAAAAAGCTGCTGATGTTACTGATTTGATGTGGCTATTAAAATTTAAGTCTGAGTCCAGTATTACCCCTAGATTTCTGACCTTGTTTGAAGGTTTTAGGGAGAGAGACTGTAGGTGACAGATGACGCTCTCTCTTTGTTTCTGGGGACCAAAGACAATCATTTCAGTTTTGTCTGCGTTTAGCTGAAGGAAGTTGTTTTGCATCCACTCACTGATCTGTTGGATACAGTGAAGGAGTGAGTCCACTGGTCCATGTTCTCCTGCAGTCAGTGAGACATAGATCTGAGTGTCGTCTGCATAGTTATGATAGGAAACTTTGTTTCTGCGTATTAACTGACCTAACGGCAGCATGTAGAGATTGAACAGAAGAGGTCCCAGGATCGACCCCTGTGGGGACTCCACAGGTCAGGGCCATATGATCTGAGACACAGTTTCCAATCTCCACAAAGTACTTCCTGTCTTCAAGGTAAGACCTAAACCAACTTAGGGCGGTGCCAGTGACGCCAACCCAGTCCTCTAGTCTCTGTAAGAGGATCTCATGGTCGACGGTGTCAAAGGCAGCACTTAGATCTAACAAGATTAAGATTGAGACTTTGCCTGCGTCAGTGTTCAGCCGGATATCGTTTGTAACCTTAACGAGAGCAGTCTCAGTGCTGTGGTGGGGTCTAAAGCCGGACTGAAACATATCAAATGAGTTGTTGATTATAAGAAATCTAGTAAGCTGTAGGTAGACAACTTTCTCAAGGACTTTCCCCATAAATGGCAGATTTGAGATGGGACGATAGTTGTTAAGTACAGTGGCATCCAGACTGCTCTTTTTTAGCAGGGGCCTGATGACTGCAGTTTTCAGGGCCTTTGGGAATATTCCAGAATGAAGGGACATGTTTACTATCTGTGTGAGTGAAGGTAACAGACTGCTCAGAACAGACTTCAGAAATCTAGTGGGTAGTACATCCAGGCTGCATGTGGAGGAGCTCAAACTGGAGATTATCTCTTGGACAGTTTTATCATTTACAGGTGCAAAGTGAGTTAGCTCAGAGAGCCTTTCTGGCTGTTGGATGGTTATCTGTGGATTGGAGACAATGGCGCTTTTGATGCCTTGAACCTTGTCATTGAAAAAATTAGCAAACTCATTGCATTTACGTTTGGAAGTAAGCTCTAATGGCATTTGAACAGGGGGGTTTGTTAATCTATTAACTGTTGAGAACAGAACACGCAGATTGTTGCTGCAGCCTTCAATCATTTCAGAAAAATACCTTTCTCTCGTACTACGTAGCACCCGGTTAAACTCGCACAACTTATCTTTGAAGATCTCGTAATCTACCTGGAGGTTGGACTTGCGCCACTTCCGCTCGGCCCTCCGGCACTTTCTCTTTTGTGCCCTGACCGAGTCTGCTTTAGCCCACGGCGCCTTCTGCTTATTTTTCACTATTTTAACCTTCACAGGGGCAACGGTATCCAGAACATTCAAAACACTAGAGGTGACAGAGTTAAACAGTTCATCTACAGTAGAATACGATGCATTCTCAAAGTTTATCATTTCCATAAATAGTTCACTCGTATTTTCATTTATGCGCCTTCTTCGAACAGTTGCAGAGTCCACTGGTGGTTTGTTAGTGAAACACATGTCAAAAAAAACACAGAAATGATCCGAAAGAGCAACATCGACCACGTTTACATTTGAAATAATCACCCCCTTTGTAACTAACAGATCTAGAGTGTGCCCTCTGCTGTGGGTGGGGCCACTTACATGCTGAGTGAGATCAAAGGATTCAAGTACAGAACTCAGCTCATTTGCATTTCTGTCATCAACATTATCCACATGAATATTAAAATCACCTGTAATAACCAAACTATCAAAATCTGTGCATACAACTGAAAGCAACTCGGTAAAATGATCAATAAAACTGTGACATGACTGCGGTGGCTTGTATAGGACAACGAAGAGTATTGGAGGAGATTGTTTTTGTTGTATTTTAAAAGACACATATTCAAATGACGAAAACTTCCCAAGAGACATTCTATGGGAGACAAAGTGGTCTCTAAAAATGGCAGCTAAGCCTCCTCCTTTTTTGTTTTCCCGTATTTCAGATTCAAACTTGAAATTTGGTGGTGATGCTTCTATTAAAACTGCATTTTCTGAATTTTGGTCAAGCCAAGTTTCAGCCATGAACATAAGATCAAGATTATGAGAAGAAATAAAATTATTGATTAAAAAAGACTTGTTACAAAGAGATCTGACATTAAGCGTAGCAAGTTTCAAAGTTTCAGTATCAGCGGTTGCGGTCGGCTGATTCTTACACGGAACAAGAATTAGATTTTCCAGATTAGACTGATTAACTCCAGATGTTTTTCTGTAATGTATTCTTTGTGTTATCACTAAGGGAATGGCACAGGTGGCTTCATGACAGGGCCCCAGCCGGGTCTCTCCTCTAACTAGACTGCCAGTGGCTGCGAAGCAGAGACCCTGTGCATCCTAGTGTTTAGAGAAAAGAGGGGTAGGGGAAGGCGGGGGAGGAGGATGGAGAGGTGGGTGGCTTTTGGGTGTTGAACGAGGGGGGCAGGGAGGTGGATGGGTTTTTGGTGATGGGATTAGCCAGATTAGCCAGATTAAATGGCTAGTCCCATTGGAAAATCTTGTCAGAATGTACTTGATTCAAGGCAAGCAATTATTAACTCATACTACGGGAATTAGATAACTATGCAAGTGATCTGGCATTTTGTAGGTCACACCGACCCGATTGTGTATCTGTGTAATGTTCTTTCGATGTCTCTAGATCAGGCTTTCTCTAACTGGGGTACGCGTACCCCTAGTGGTACGCGGGCTCCCTCTAGGGGTACGCCAAAGAATCACTGAAATAAATATAAATAAAATAAAATACATTTACATGAAATACTATCAAACATATTAGAATGGATGAAATATATCAACCTGTGGCAAAAAAATGGAGAGAGCTATAAATTAACTTTTAATTAACAAGTTTGCAAGTGCTTCTGGGTAGCAGTAGTCCTATGAAAACATTTGAAATTGCCGTTGACGTTGAGTTAGAAAAGCTGACGCTAGCGGTTACAGGCAATAATAGGTGATGGCAGGAGGTGGAGTTTTTTAATAATGAAGTCTTCAAAACTACTGTCGTGGCTTCAGTCTGCGAAGGGAAGTGTGGACCAGTCAAAGTCCATCATTCAGTCCTGTGGAACACCTGTAGCCAAAGCACAGGAGGCTTCATATCGTGCCAGCCTCAGGATCGCCAGAGCCGGTAAGCCGCACACAATCGGGGAACAGTTGTGTTTACCTTTAGCTAAAGAGATGACGCGGATCATGTGTGGAGAGAACGCTGCCAGAAAGTTAAACTTGGTGCCACTTTCAAATGACACCGTGTCAAGGAGAATAAAAGACATGGCTGATGATGTTAAAAACACACTGATTGAGCGCATTAAGAACAGTCGATATTTTGCCATACAGCTCGATGAGAGTACAGATGTAGCAGATTTGGCCAATTTATTAGTTTATGTGAGATATGAATATGATGGTGCAGCTCAGGAGGATATTCTGTTCTGTCAGTCACTTGAAACGTGTTTAAAACACACTACTACGCACCGACTAACCCTCTCTTTATCCAGTTAAGAACTTTAAAAATGTATGATATTGTTGATGTGAGTACACTGGCTGTGGTATACAGGGCTCAGCACAATAATCTTCCACCCAATATTCAAAATATGTTTGAACATAGAGATTGTAGTTACAATCTCAGAGGAACAGGGATTTTCAAAATAAATAAGGCAAGAACTAACAAAAAAAGCAGATGTGTCTCGGTCAGAGGAGTGAGACTATGGAACAACTTAGACGACGCAATCAAAAACTCCTACTCATTGAAGACGTTTAAAAATAATATTAAACATAATATTTTAAGTAATTACCAAGCCCAAGAATGATAGGTCTAGCAGCTCTCCTACATCTCTATGACAGCCTTTTGCTGTTTGCTTTTGTTGTTAAAATATTAAAATGTGTTTTCTCAAATTATTTATATTTTTCCATCCTATTGTTTCTTTTTATTATTAAAATGTTCTCCTGATCTTGACTTTTAGTTTGGCTTCTATTTTAAAAGGGTTTTTTTTCCCCATACTTTGGAGACTTTACTTAATGAATTGGATTAGGCAAAAATAAGTTATACTTCAGCCTAATCCCTTCGGTCACAACTGCGTTTGTAAATCTATGTGAAAGCATGTACATTACTGACATAAGATTCATTGTTTTTGTAACCTTGTCCTCTTTTGATTGTCCTTTATGTCTAAATAATGATAATTTGTATGACCGAATAAACAAACAAACAAAAATCAAATCAAATCAAACCAGAGCTACGGCAGAGCACATATTCCAGCTACTGAACGCGTTTATCCATGAGAATGGACTGGACTGGAAAAAGTGTGTGGGGGTGTGTACAGACGGCGCGAGGGCTATGACGGGTCGTAAGAGCGGGGTAGCCACTCGCATCAGAGAGGTGGCACCTGAGATGCGCTGGACTCACTGCAGTGTCCACCGTGAGGCACTGGCAGTGAAGAAGATGCCTGATGACCTGAAGTTTGTGCTGGACTCTGCTGTAAAAACTGTGAACTTCATAAAGTCCAGACCGATGAATGCTCGCTTATTTCATGTGCTCTGCGAGGAGATGGGTAGTGAGCATGTCCAACTCTTGCTTCATACTGAAGTAAGGTGGCTTTCAAGAGGAAAGGTACTTTCGAGGCTTTTCAAATTGCACAGAGAGGTCCAGATGTTCTTGCAGGACAAACATTTCCCTCTCTCAGACATTTTTGAGGATGCTGTGTGGCTCAGTCAGCTGGCATACTTGTCTGACATTTTTTCACGTTTAAATGAACTGAATTTGGGACTGCAGGGACTCTCTATCAATGCTTTTGATGTACAGGACAAAATCAATGCACTGCTGAAAAAGTTAGTTATTTGAACTTAAAGTCAAGACAGGTGATGTTTCAGCTTTCCCTGCTTTGGAGAGTTTTTTGTCTGATAATGACCCGATGCTTGATGATGGAGTCAGGGAGAACATCGCTGCACACCTCGCATCACTCAGACAACAGTTCTGCAATTATTTCCCTGTGATGCCTGGAGCTGAGGCTAGAAGCTGGATGAGAAACCCTTTCAACATCAGCACCTCTCACGTGGCCTCAATGGACTTAACTGTTGTTGAGCAGAAGAAATTAATAGAGCTGTCTTGTGACGAAACACTGAAGGCATCTTTCAGAAAGCACACTTTGTTGGACTTTTGGATGAAGCAGTACAGTAAATACCCTGTGCTTTCTGACAAGGCTGTGCGTTTTCTCCTTCCTTTTGCAACCACCTATCTGTGTGAGAAAGGCTTCTCTTCACTTGTTGTCATAAAAACAAAGTACAGAAGCAGGGTGGATGCTGAGCCAAACCTGAGACTGAAGCTGACCTCCATTGACCCAGATATTGCAGGACTGTGTTCACAGAGGCAGGCACACCCATCACACACAACTCATGCAAGTTGTCATTAATAGTCTGTGTATGTTTAATTACAGCTGTTAATTCTCTTTTTTTATTCTAAATCTTATTGTTCTTCCTCTGTGTTTATGTTTGTTTCAGAAAGCAGCCATATAGCAGTGTGTAAAGTTGAGACAGCAAGAACTGTTACTTGCAGCTAGGTATACGGCCTTAGTTTAGTTTCATAACATTGAAGTACAGTACAGTTTTATTTAATCTTTAAGAACAGAATTTTTACATTTATTTTAGTACAATGTTTATTTAACTTTTATGTGCAATACATTTTATTTGAATCATTATTTAAGTAGAGTTATTAGTTTTTTTCCCTAAATTTAAGTCTTACTGTTGAAATTGTAAAACAGTGGCTCTCCCTAGTGCACATGTGTCAAAGTCAAGGCCCGCGGGCCAAATCCGTCCCGCAAATGAATTATCTATGGCCTCCGGGACATTGCCTGCCATTGAGGCAATGTATTGACCCCTTAAGCTCGCTAGCCCCCGCCGGCGGGGGCTATCGAGGGCCAGCAATCTGTTGGCAATAGCAGATGTATTTTGAACTTCGTAAGCCACAAGCTATATATCATTTTAAAGCTTATTTTCTCAGCTATATTTATATGTAAGTGTAAACGATATCAGACTTTGCATTAAAAAGATATAACGCATAATATTGGCACAAAATAAATCACGTCTGTATTTGTTTTTTACCTTTCGTCTTCTGCTGCTCCAACAAATTAGACTTTCCCCATCCTTGCTTAGTCGCTTTCTCTCCGTAACTGTTCATTGAAGAAGAATATCCACTTGTATTTCCCAAAGTATAATCCATTCTGCAGATTTAATCAAAAAACGCCCCAAAAAGAGGTCCAGACTGCTCTTTTACATTTCACCAAGTTTGAGCTTTTTTTTTTTTTTACTATTTTCATGTTCTCAGATGTCTATTACTTCTAATAAGTACAGTATGAGGATTGGCTTTAGAGCATATTTTATCAAGCCAACAGGTGTCACCAACACTGCCTCTGGATGTTGAGAAACATTGAACCAGTCCGGCCCTCGGCGCGTAGCAAACATTTTTTTTTGGCCCTCTGATGTATTTGACTTTGACATGCCTGCCCTAGTGGTTCTCCCTCTGTATAATGTTACAATGGCTGACAATATTAAATATACCTCTTTAGGAATTAAACCCCTGCCTTGTTTTTGATGAATACTTAGGCTTACTATGCTACTGTGTAGTGTTGGTCATTTGTGGTGGTACTTAGTGGCAAGTATTTTCTGAGGTGGTACTTGGTGTAAAAACTTTGAGAACCACTGCTCTAGATGAAACGTACTGTATGTTTTTCCATGTATGACGTATGTGTGACATAAACGTTGACTATATAAACCTATATCCTGATTTTGCTCTGCCGGAAAAAAACTGAAAAAAACCTGAAAGAACTGAGAGAAACTGAATGAACTTCCGGGTAGCTCTGGTGCGTAAACATGCCGTCTCTGTGAAGTTAAATTTCCACAAGGCTTTATCAGTTTTTTGCAGTGTACTATGTTTGCCTGATAATACCGATCACAAAAGTCATGATGCGAGAAAAGTTAAAACTAATTACATTTCTCCAGGCAGCAACTTATTAAATATACAGTATAGTAGACAGCAGCTTGGAGGTGAGATCCCTGTGCATGAGCACATGGGAGCTATCACCATATTGTATTTAACATGTCCGCTATGAAGACTTCAGCGTCTGACTTATGAAGAGTGGATTGGACAGCGTCTCTCCTGGAGCAAGGTCGGAATCCTAATGAGCGGCCTCATAAAAGGTCTTTTAAGTGGGGATAAAAGGGACTCACGTGCAGTGGAAGTATGGAAGTATGCCAGCCGCTGTCGCATGATAAACGAGGAGCTGTCCCGGACACACGCCTGGGGAACGCTGTCGAGTAGAGCCAGAGCAGGCCTTGAAAAATGGACGATTTGTAAAATGTATGTTATTTTGACAAGAGATGATAATGGATGTTCAGTAGGAGGACCGGAAATGGAGGGATAACATGTGTGTCGTATCAGTAATAGCGTTCTCAAATATTGTTAGCTATACGTTATGATTAAGATTCTTTACTTCAATCCAGTACAAAGCATGGTTTAACACATTTTCTACAAATTTGTAACTGTAAGAACAGAAAATTGGTTCTTTGGATTTAAAAAGGTGCTCTTCAAGGAATAGGTGCTACATTATCAAAAAAAGACCGTAAACCTGGTGCACCCCCCTCCCCCCTGGGAGCCTCCTCAGTCCTGCACCCGCCTCAGTCCTGGATCTACAGTGTCCATCCATGGGAGCGGATCCCTCCCTCGATATGGGCCTCCCTTGTTTTTTGTGTGTAATTCTTTGCCGATGCGGGAGGGTCTCAGCCGGACTGCGCTCTGGAGCTGCAGGGTTTTGAGCTGTTCCGCGCGGATCGCAATTGTGCGCTATCAGGAAAGAGCAGAGGCGGAGGACTCTGTTTCTACGTCAATACACACTGGTGTAACGATGTGACAGTGATCTCCAAGCACTGCTCTCCTGCTCTGGAATATCTTTTCATTCATTGTAAACCGTTTTAGTCCCCTCGCGAGTTCGTTTAATTCATTCTTGCCTCTGTTTACATACCGCCATGCGCGAATGCACGCAAGGCTCAGCGCGCACTTGCAGAGCAAGTACTGTGTTTGAAACGTTTATACCCGGACTCTCTGATTATTATCCTGGGGGATTTTAATAAGGGAAACTTGAGCCAGGAATTACCCAAATACAGACAGTTTATCAAATGCCTGACCAGAGAGGAGAACACTCTGGATCACTGCTACACCTCTGTGCGCGGAGCTTTTCGCGCTGTTCCCAAGCCAGCCCTCGGCTTCTCAGATCACTCCATGATAAATCTGATCCCTGCTTACAGACAGAGACTAAAGCTCTCAAAACCTGCAGTGAGGAGCTCCAAAGTGTGGTCTGATGAAGCTGTGGAGGAGCTGCGCGCATGCATGGAATCTACAGACTGGGACCTTTTCAGAGCTGCCACAGACAATTTGGATGACTACACGGACACTGTGACGTCATACATTCACTTCTGCGAGGATAGCATCATTCCAACAAGGACCAGGGTCATCTATAACAACAAAAAACCCTGGTTCACTGCTAAACTCCGGCAGCTCAGAAAAGCAAAGGAGTCTGTTTTCAGGGAGGGGGACCGCAGCAGCTACAAAGCAGCTAAATATCAGTTCAGGGACGAACTGAAAGCAGCCAAGTCCCGGCACAGAGAACGACTACAGGAGCAGTTTGGTAACAACGATACTGCTTCTGTCTGGAGGGGCCTACGGGAGATCACCAACTACAAGCCCAAAGCCCCCCTCTGCGCTGACGACCACAAGCTAGCTGACGACCTGAACCTTTTTTTCAGTGGCTTTGATGCTGCCCCTGACACCTCCCCCACCCCCCACTACTCTAACGACCCACCCATCAGCCCTGCCCCCACACTGACAATAGCCTCTAAAGATATCAAACAACTCTTCTTGAGGCTGCACCCCCGCAAAGCTCCTGGCCCAGACCACGTGTCTCCGGCCACTCTGAGACACTGCGCCAGTGAGCTAACTCCTGTGTTCACTGACATTTTCAACTCGTCACTGCAGTCCTGCCATGTCCCGGCCTGCTTCAAATCCTCCATCATTGTCCCCGTCCCGAAGAAGCCCCGGATCACAGGACTCAATGACTACAGACCTGTAGCACTTACGTCTGTCGTCATGAAGTCATTTGGACGCCTGGTTCTCTCCCATCTCAAGTCCTTCACCTCCCCCCTCCTGGACCCCCTGCAGTTCGCCTACAGAGCCAACAGATCTGTAGACGACGTCATTAACCTGGCCCTCCACCACATCCAACAGCACCTGGACTCCCCGGGGACCTAAGCCAGGGTCCTGTTCGTGGACTTCAGCTCTGCCTTCAAAACGATCCTGCCATCCCTGCTCCAGGACAAGCTCTCCCAGCTCAACGTGCCCGATTCCACCTGCAGGTGGATCACTGACTTCCTGACAGACAGGAAGCAGCGAGTGCGTCTGGGGAAGAATGTCTCGGACTCTCGGATTATAAATACAGGAGCCCCACAGGGCTGTGTTCTTTCTCCCCTGCTCTTCTCCCTGTACACCAACCACTGCACCTCCAGCCACGACTCCGTGAAGCTGATCAAGTTCGCGGACGA